TTACATTTCTATCTGATCTCGGTGCTGTCCTTGAGAAACTATAGCGTTATTAATGAGACCTCTTTACTGATGTTCCTTATCTATGGACATTTATATTATCTATGCATTCACATGGATAACATTCGCAGCTGAGATGAATTTTAGGACAGTCAGTGAAACCTCTTTCAATTGCAGACATTAAAGCTAGTGACTGTAAATTATCAGCCATGTTTATGGGCTCTCAGAGAGTAAGTTTACCGCAGGGGTTGTAAAGGTCAGTCTAGCCTTTTGCTTGATTTATGAACACACAGGATATTAAGTTAAACATCAAAGAGGTGTTGAGCATAGGTGTGTGTGTGTGTGTGTGTGTGTGTGTGTGTGTGTGTGTGTGTGTGTGTGTGTGTGTAAGAGGGAAAGGGTGAGTGAATTGGTAAGCCAGTAAATGAATAAAGGGAAAGATCTAGGATATTCTTACTACTGTGATATTTCAAAAATTTAAATCAGTAATTTTCTTTTTAAATTAAAGGCCTAAAATCACTTAAGAAAATGTTTTTATTTAAATAAATGCAAGTTTATCCAAATTTACAAGCACACTTTGAATATTCCAAAAGTATTGATACTTATATTATTCCGTATTTTAGATACACTGAGTGCCAAATAAGGGGGGAATGGTGGCTTAGTGTTTAGAACATTTGCCTCGCAACTCTGGCATTGGGGGTTCAAATCCCACCTCCGCCCTGTGTACACAGAGCTTGCACCCTTGTAATCTTTGCTTCCAGGGTTTCATCCGGCCACTCTGGTTTCCTCCACCTATCCAAAGACGTGTTGTAGTCTGACGCATTCAGTGACATGTAGTGGGTGTGTGTGTGTGTGTGTGTGTGTGTGTGTGATTGTGCCCTGCAATGGGGTATTCCCTGCCTTGTGCCCCAAGCTCCCTGGGATATGCTCCAGGCCCCCCCATGAACCTGCATATGTGGTATAAGCGGAACATGGATGGATGGATGCCAAATAAACTATTATTTTAATCTAGATGTTTTAGTAAAAATAGGAAAACATAAGACTTTAACTAGCTTATACTTTCTGCATACTGTTATTTGTTCACTTGATAGACATAGTACACTTTTAAAATTTACTTACCTAAACAATGTATTTCATAAGGGTTCATGTTAGCCATGTTTGTGTATAAAAACAGCTTTCAAATGGTATCAGAGAGATGCTTCGGCTTATGCGTTGGCACCTCTTTGCATGAGTGTGTTGGCTGAGTGTTGTGAGCTCTCAATACCTCGTACACACTGATTGCACTTCCCGGTCCAGGCAAAGGCGCAATGGAGGTGGCTGTTGCTGCTTAACTCTGCTGCTGAGAGAGAGTCTGGGGAATTTATGTCTCCTATCAAAGGCCTTTCATATTCCACTGCACATGGTAATAATTGAACGGCACAGTTATCACGGTTTGATAGTATTTTGCATTAGACTCGTCCAGACATCAATAATGCAGTGCTCAACTAATACAGCATTCATTGCAGGGATCAGGGATTCGTTGCTAAGTAGTCCATCATCGTTTTTTCTCTTTTTCTTTCCAATTTTTACAGCATTCTGACACACTTTTCTCACTGCCTTTATGATTGTATTTTAGATTTATACTCCACTATATTTGTATTGTGTATATTTCTGGCTTTCAGATGTAATTTTTTTTTCTGTGCTGATTGCAAGTCAGTGTTTGTGGTACTGCTTTGCTGGTGGTGGGTGAGGTGTTGTAAGCTCTGTGTGTAAGAGAGGTGAGTAGAGCACGGCCGGAAGATGTCTGGATGCCTGCTGGTTATGCACCGCCTGCAGCTAACCTGTGGCTTAAAGGGGTCAGAGGTCGGGTGGCCCACCCTTGAGCCCCTGCAGGGCAAATCAGAAACACATGGGCTTGTTCTCTAGACCCTCCTCAACTCCTCCTTCACCTCCTTCCTCTCCCTTTTGGTGTTTTGGATTTGGCAAGAGTGCAGGAGAACCATGGATCCTGGACATCAGTCATGTGTCTCTTTGCCTTTATCGTTCTTATTTCTCTCTCTTTGTCTTTTATTCATTAACTGATAGCTTTTTCCTCAGCCAGCCCTTAACTTGATAGCTGTTTCTAGAAAAAGCTAAGAATTTGAAGAAGTCTTTCTGTATGTTACAAAGTTTAATCAAGTTTATTGAAATGATTGGAAAGTGATTGGTATTACTTTGCTTACAGTAATTGTTCAGAGGACTAAATGAGACTACATAAGCCCTTCATGACTACTGACCTAAACGTGCGATAGGATTTTCCTATCAATTTTAATAGCAAGTTGTCATAACAACTGAGTCAAATGATTTATTTGATATACTAGAAGTACACTGAGCTATACATTCATGACAATCCAACATAAATCATTCAGAAAGTGTATTGCACTTGACAGTTGAAATAGGCCAGTACTCAATAGCACTTATATGTTTTGCTCTTTTGAGCACCGGACGTTTTTGCATACAGGCGCCTCTCATAATCTCATATTATTCCACTTTATCCATACCTACTCACAGAATCACTTGACTGTTTAACTAATAATAACAGTATTTTTATGCTACATACTCAAACTAAGTGGAGTATAAGGTCATGGCATATACTTCATATTGATTTCAGTTCATGTCTATAGAGTGTATGCTGGTGTAAGTGTATGCTGGTGTAACGATGGGGTGTAAGCATTGTATATACAGCAGCAGACTTTAGTGGAATTAAAGTGGCAGTGCAGTGCAAACATTGTCAGCAGTGTACACATTGTAAACAGTGTGAAAACAGAAAAATTAATGGTTATGTGGCTGTGCATATACATGTGGATGTGAATAATGCCTGGTGGTAGTTCAACTATTGTCCAATCCTAAGACAATTTATAATCATAATGTACCAGAGCTTGCATTTTACACACCTGATGTGGATTGGAACTCGTATGAAGATGGAAATCTAACTGTTTTGTGTCAGGTTTGAACTGGCCTGAATGGAGCTAGAAGACGACATATAAGTCTTCTTGTTTTATTAAATCCAACTTATCGAACAAATCAAAGGGTTATGCAATTTACAGAAAAATGAGACAGCTGAGGTGATTGCCAAAGAGACATAAACTAGACAAGACTATATCAGTAAATGTGAAGCAGCTTATGGTCAAAACACTAATCAAAACAGGCAGAGAGCTCAGGCTTGGAGTCATCACAGATGCAATAGTGTACCAAGACTTTACTAAGAAATGGGGAGAGTCTGGGTTGTTTAAAGGTATAGTGTGATTGCAAACAGATGAGCGTCATTAGTAATCAGGTGACTTTGTGCAGGGATAGGTGCTTTACTGTAGGTCATGTGATGGAAAAAAAAAAGAAAAAGAAAAAAACCCTTCCGGTTTAGGCCATGCCCAAAATTTAAGTATTGATACTGATATGAATATTTGAAGCACTAAACAGATAGCAATTGTGTTGCATCCTTACACCGCAGAGCTTCAAATGGAATAGTTTGCTAAATCTAGTAACGCATATCCAGTTATGTCAGGAAGAGGAGTACCAGCACTTTTTCCGATTGTACTTGATTTAGATGTTGTGTCTTTATGCAGCTGACCCCTAGGAATAATAATAATAATAATAATAATAATAATAATAATAATAATAATAATAATAATAATAATAATAATAAGTCCTAAAATGCCTTAAGAAAAAATATATTTAAGTATAATGCAAGGGTTTTTTTCCCAAATATTTTTTTGAGAAAGAAAACATACTTCCTGTCACTTAGACACAATACAATTAACATGTTTTGTTTTATATGTTTGTTTTATTGAATGTATGTGTTATATATATTTTTTGTTATATATATTTAAACAAATAAAAAATAAAAAGCACTCTAATCAGAGTATAGATAAGAAAAAAAAAATTTAAAGAGTGCAATCAACTGAAAAATGTCCCCCCACCCCTCACCCTGGCTCATAATGGCTAACTAATGTCTATGTCCGGTTGTACATATTTTAAAATCCAGCAACAGGCAAAAAAATTATATATATATATATATATATATATATATATATATATATATATATATATATATATATATATATTAAATAAAGGTTTGCCATTTGTAGAAACACTTGTAACTACATCCCCTTCTCGTATTTTTTTTTCTCAAGTTTTAACAAAACCATTGTGTCCTTAAGCCACTGGAAGATGGATGGATATTTAGCAGACTTCCAATGCAGCAGTAGGGAATGTCTTGCTATTAAGGATGTGAAAGCGATAATATCTTTTTGTACAGAGCGTAATGGAACTGAGGCATCAGGAATCCCAAATATAGCAATCAATGGGCAAGGTTTTAAATCTACTCTGAGAATAGTGGACATAATTGTAAAGAAACTAGTCCAAAAACATAGAGATCAAGGCAGAGGAAAAAGATATGGCCAAGATGACAGGGAGAGCCTTGGCATTTATCACACTTGTACTCTACTTCTGGAGATATTACAGAAAGTCTCTACTTAGACAAATGGACCCTATGTAAAATGCTGAATTGGATGAGTCCAAGACGAGCATAAGAAGTGGTTTACTGTATCCTACCTATAGCACTTTCCCAACACTCTTCACTTATTTGTACTCCTAATTCCATTTCCCAAGTATTCTTAATTTTGGTACTCGACTGACTATTTAACGACAGACTAAAATCATATATCTTAGAAATCATTCCTCTCTGATGTTGATTGTTTGAAAACAAGCTTTCCCAAGACTGTTCTGGAGGCGCAGAGTGGAACTTAGGAAAACATCTAGAAACAAAACTTCAAATCTGAAAATAACGAAACATAAGCGTTACAGGGAGTTCATAAGTAGATGACAAGTTTGCAAAGCTATCAAAGACACCATCGACATACAAATGTTTTAATTGTTTAAGTATAATGCAAGTTTATCCAAATTTACAAGCACACTTCAATAGAACTCATAGTGTACCTAAAGTATTTATAGCTTTATTTTATATACATTGGGTGCCGAATAAGAGGGGCATGGTGGCTTAGTGGTTAGAACGTTTGCCTCGCAACTCTGGGTATAGGTGTTCGAATCCCACCTCCGTCCCATGCACGCAGAGCTTGCATGTTCTCCCTGTGCTTCAGGGGATTACTCTGGGTACTCCAGTTTCCTCCAGTAGTCCAAATACACGCACTGAAGGTTCATTGGCATTTCCAAATTGTCTGTAGTGTGTGCATGTGTGTGATTGTGCTCTGCGGTGGTTTAGCACCCTGCCCTGAGTCCCCTGGGGTAAGCTCCAGTGCCCTTGTGTAGGATAGAAAAGTAGGATAAAAAAAAAAAAAAAAAGGGAAGGGGGATATCAGTTGTCATGGAGGGTTTATGTAGGTTGCGTGTAACACTATGAATGCCACTCTTATGTAAAGTGTAACCTATCATATTTCCAGCTCAGTTCATCAGTCAAATAACTAATGATTTATTAATTAAATGGGAATTATCTGGCCTGTATCCGATGCAAATTAGCACAGACATTTTTGTAGTGTAAATGAACACGATAGTGGCTTGAATTCTAAAGAGATGAGTCGCATGTTCGAGCTTCTTTTTAAGCACAAACTTTTTTCATTTTGCTTAAATGAATGTCCAATTGTACGGCTCGCCATGGAGAATAATTTTCCTGGCTGCATTCAGCATAAGCTTGTCTAATTTCTTTGATTGTTCTGCAATGACTAGTGTTGTGTGTGTAAATTTGTATGAGTATATATATATATATATATATATATATATATATATATATATATATATATATATATATATAGATACATATATATATATATATATATACATACATATATATATACATACATATATATATATATAAATACACACACACACACACACACACACACACACACACACACACATATATATATATATATATATATATATATATATATATATATATATATATATATATATATATATGTGTGTGTATATAATTGTATTTATTTATTCATTTTTACAGTGTTTGGTTCATACTCATACTTACAGTGTAGCAGCGTGTGGAGAAAAAGGTTTTCTATTTCTTCCAGAGACAAAGGAAACAGCCTTTCATTGGCATTTGTTTATTCCTAACATGAGATGCCTTTCACTCTGTGTGAGTTTCTGAATGGGGGATTTTGAGGAAGAGAGGAAGAAGAGTGCCCGCTGGTAGACCTGTGAAAAGCAGACACCAGATTATTTCTCACATTTTTTCCCTGGGGGTATGGCTTTCAGTGAGTGGACCGTTTGAAGGCGAGCATACTGTAGTTTCGAGGGAGTGCAGAGCTTATAGTGTAAGTGTAACTCTGCTGCTAGGAAAGCCTCTGCTGCTTGTGCTGAGGTTAGTAGGCTGTGTACACATGGCAAAATTGAAGCTGTGTATTTTAGCGATGAGGCCTGTGCACACACTTATACCAAGATGCTACACCACACTGTTTAGAAAACACACACCCCTTCACACACACAGCACACGTCATGATGGAGTGAAATGTGGCATTTGTGTGTGACATGATGCACATCTGTGTACTTTTGTGTGCTGAGCACTTGCATAGACCCTGAGGAGTTCAGGATCCATGCTGTGTTTGAAGAGGTTGTCTGCTGTGTGTGCTGATGGGGATGTGCAAATTGTGTTGTGGTTTGCACCTTTCTGGAGGTTTTTTCCCCTTTATTCACTAAGAGAAAATGCTTACGTCCTACAGCCAGTCATGTTCATTTGAAAATTTGCTTTTAGAAAAAAACCCCTCTGCTTTAATCTATATAGTTTCCGTCACAATAAGCATGTTTATAAAAATAAATAAATAAAAAAACGCGCATACACATCTAAGGTTGTTTATTGTTTGGTTTTTTGCTTCAAATTCAAACAGCAACCAACAGAAATCAGGACACTAGTTCCACCAACTTAAGACACTTGAGACTGTGACTAATTGGCTTTTTCCTTAACCAGCTACTATTAAATACAACAAAATTATCGACAATTTTTTACAAACATTTATAAAGATAAAGTTTTTTGTCATAAATTAAATACCAAAAAAACTACAACAAATCCATAGTGACAAAAAAGATTATGATGGATGGAAAGAACAGTGAGTATTTATCAATGCACTAAGTTTGATATGCAATAAGTCTTATCAAATATAATCCAAAATATAAAATATCTGTTTGTTTGTGCTGGGTTTGGAGTAAAGAACATTATGCTGGCATAATGAAAATAAAAGCTTTAAAAAGTTGGACTGGTTAAAAAATATAAATTGGACTATTCATAAACTAACATGAATCATAAATTCATTTTCTATAATAGCAACTCTGACTGTAATCACAGGTTTATATAAATGCAGTGTTCTAATATGTTTTTGTTTACTCATGTTACACAGCATCAAATTTAAATCTAAATGGATAAAAGTATGACATTGTGCTTTAATTAAAAAAAATGTTTGTTATTATTGGCAAATTGCTGTGGTATACTAAAAAACCTTAGCGCACTGTAAAACATAGCCCCATTAAGTTATGTGAACATATTTCCTCTCTATAACTCCAATTGTCATGCCAAGTTTTAGATATTGAACTCAAGTTGAAACAGTAATCAACCAGTCAGAACTGAACAATGTTGCTAGCCCAACCCCCCAAGTACCATTATTTTCTGTTGGTGAAAATCTTGAGTAGGTACCAAAAAACATAGAGCTGGAACCTTTGTAACTGGAATGGTGTATTTTGTGTAATGGAAAAAACCCTTGTGTAATGGTTATAAATTAACTTATTTGCTTATATTGAGGATGATAAAGGTTTAAAACCCCAAGGGACTTAGAAAGGTGTACTCACGGGGTGGCTGTGGCGCACTTGGTAGAGTGGGTTGTCCACTAATCGTAGGGTTGGCGGTTTGATTCCCAGCCCGGGTGACTCCACATGCCGACGTGTCCTTGGGCAAGACAGTGAACCCCAAGTTGCTCCCGATGGCAAGTTAGCGCCTTGCATGGCAGCTCTGCTACCGTTGGTGTGTGAATGGGTGAATGAGACACAGTGTAAAGCACTTTGGATAAAAGCGCTATATAAGTGCACATTTACCATTTACTCAGTGAACATCAGGTTCTCATTGTTCATTTAAATGTTTTTTTCAATCTTTTTTTTTTTTTACCTGAAGGAAACTGTGTGTTAAACCATTTTTCTACCCTAACCGAGCACTCACTTTTAATTACACCAAGAAGTCAATTCTCAGGTTGAAATGGCATCTGTATGGAGCATGAAATTACCGCAGTGTATTTGGAGCTGTTATCTACGGTGAGCTTTAGCTGAACGCACATATTCACAGAGAGTAACACGTCCAACCTTTGAAGTTTTGCTCGTAGCGCAAGGGACTGCTTTGATGTTCTGTGCCTGGTTTGTTTCTACTGGGACAGACCTGACAGAGAGAGAGAGAGAGAGAGAGAGAGAGAGAGAGAGAGAGAGAGAGAGAGAGAGAGAGAGCATGCCTTAGATACCTCCAGGTCTGAAAGCACACCGATAAAAGAAAGTGTGCCTGCTCAGTCATCTTATGTCGTATTCGATTTTGGGCTACAGAAACTGGAGTCTGCTGTGAGAACCAGAGACATGGCCTGAACGAGAGTCACACAGGGATACAGTAAGAGTCCATGTCCAGGCAGACAGAAAAGGAAATACATGTTTTCTCTGGGGAAAATGATGTCGCCGTTCCTCAGAGGTGTACCTCCAGTTCCATTATTCTATATTTAACCACCCTTTTGGATTGAAGGAGGTGCAATGTAACTTATGAGACACAAACACTCACCCACCCCTCCTCGCTCAGGAACCTGGGGTTGGGTTTCCTGGGATTTCCTGACAGGCCTGAAAGTTACCAGTTTGAATTTTACACAGAAATATGCTCCCTCATAAATGAGAAAGGAGATTAATTGCTGTTCTTCTAAACTCCAGTAGTGGCCATGGTTATGAAAGGCAGTGAGGATGTTACTACAGTTTTAGTGTGTTAGTTTATTAAAATGAGGGGAACAACCAAGCACCCATGGGGTGACAAAGTAGAAATTAATGACATTGTTTCATTTCTTCATAGTTGCAGTGATTAACAAAGAATTTGTTTCAGTACATACAAAACTACAATGATTATTTAAGTCCCCATGAGTTAGATATATGTATAACATGAGATCTATTTTATTAATTAGGACAGAAGGATAAAACTATCATTCTTTAGTAAGAATTTGGATGATAATGCCCAAGGCATATTTGTACCCTGTGTTAACCATGAGTCCATACAATTGCTTCAGAAGCACACTCTCATAAAGGTACAAAACCCTATGTGTCCCTGTCACTGGGGTAGTACTAGCAAGGATACATCATTCGTACATTTAATGTGTATCTTTTACCTGTGGTGAAGCTTTAATTAGTTTTTACAGTTTTAAAGGTACATCAGAAGCCCATAAGGTCCAATTAGGTATTTTTAAATGTAAAACATGCCCCCATAATGTAAGTGTGGACAGGAGGACACATTGTGGACTGTATGGGTTCTTTTCAGGTTATTTGCAGAGTTTAATAGCCTGGATTATTAGGGTGAAGATTTCCATAGTGGTTTAATAGACACAAATATTTGCTTATTTGTTTACTTACTCTTACTCACACTGTCCCGCTGCACTGACTGCAGTCTGTTCAGTCTGTTTCTACAGCTCCATCTGTGCATTCAGATTGTCTCCTTTGTGTAAGCATGTGTATTTTTCAAATAAGCAATAGTAAATAAATTTACTCTTTGGATAAACTTTCATTTAAGAATCCTTCTGGGTTAAATGGAGACAGTCTCTAGAGGTGCCTTGACTTTTCCTTCCACTGTCTCTTGGTTTTTTTTTACTTATGAGCCACATGAAAACTAACCCACGCTCCTCACATGAGATCTCATCTTCATAAGAATGCTAAATATGTTAATTTTCAGAGGAAAGAGTGGAAAAGATATGCTTGTCTCATTTCAGACACTGGGTTGATTTTTATATCTGTCTTCAAGCAGCGTGTGTCCTCAGTAGCCTCATGAAATTCAAAACGTCTGTGGGTTTTGCATTGCTGGGTTGTCTTATGGGAGCCGCTT